TTTTTCTCTCCTTCCCCACACCTCTCTCCCTCTTTTTCTCCCCTCACGCCGGCAGCCACCGGTGCCACCACCACCACCGGCGGCAGCAGCAGCAGTCGGTAGCACCGCCAGCCGCCCCTCCTTCTCTCTCCTCTTTTTCGGTTGTTTGGTATTATTATTATAAAAATAAAAAAAAATTAATAAAAAATCTTTTTCTCTTCCTAATTTAATTCTATTGTTTTTATTAATTTAAAACATGATTTTGATTATGTTTTGGTATTGATTTTTGGGTATTTGATGTTATTAAATTATTTACATAATTTCAGATTTTTTATTCAATCAAAAACCCCAATTTACAAACCCTAGAATTAGGGAATTTAATGTTTATGGTTAGGGTTTGATCCTAGATTGATGTTGTTGTTTAATTAATGGCTTAAACATGTTTTAACGAGTTTAAAGCCCTCAATTTAATGCTGAATTTATCTATGCACACTACTTTTTAATTATTAAGTTAGGGTTTGATTACCCATAAAAGGGAAAAAGGTTTTAATGATTTAAATATGATTTCCTAGTCTATTAGTGATATTTTATATTAAATAAGTATGCTGGAATTTTACTTAAGTCATAAAAATTAAGTCTTTTTGAAAGGATTTGAAGTACCCACTTAAAGAAAAGGTTTTATGGCTTTTATATCATTAAATTGGGTTAATTAGTAAGGTTTAAAGTGTAATATAGTTGCTGGAAATTTGTGAGAATAATGGATTAATTATAGTTATGTATTCTTATTTGTAGGAAGCTTCGAGCTAGGTGATTTCTAGTGAGTGTGGCCGAGTTTATTCAAGGTACGTATGTGCACAAAAATATTTTTGTATGTGTAGTATCATGCTAGGATTTGTGAAGTATGATTTAAGTGATGAATTAGTAGCATGTTTGGTTGATTATATGCTTGGAATTGATGTTGGTTGAGCATGAATTTATTATGCAAGCATGTGAATATGTTATTTGAGGCATGATACAAGTTGAGTATGTATGAATCATGGAAGTATGTTTTATTTTCAAGTATCAAGAAAGCATGTATTTAATAAGCAAGGCTTATATATGAGTTAAAGAGCTAAAGTTAGAATTATTGATCATGATTCATGAATTTATTTCTTACCCATTTATTATTGGTGTTGAGTCAAGAAGTTAGTTTATTTATTTACTCACTCAAATAAGTTGAGTTTGAGTCAAGGAAGTTTAGTAGTGCATCTTATGCGCCAAGGTAGTAATCATGCAATTTTGTGCACAAAACTAGGCAAGAAACCTTAATTAAAATAAATAGTATGCGCTCACTAATTAATTCAAGAATGAATTGGAAGTATGTATTGATTGTTATTATGTTTGTTCTTGATTGATTGGTTTGAGTCATCACAAGTTAAATTTGTAAATTACGTAAAGTGTAAGAGGATACGCACCAAAACTCTTGGAACGTATATACCTTGAGAATGAACATATGGGGGGAGTTGTGTGGTTTTTTTTTATTTAACCATAGCTTCTATAGGGGTATAGGACGCTGTACTTTCTTTTATTATTAATGCGCTAGAATTCCGTCACAAGGTGACATAGTAGGTGCCAATTAGGGTAGCTCTTTGATTGGAAGCTCAACATTTAAATGAGCTATTTTCAAGGAAGGAAACTTGTTCGATGCGTAATCCAAAATTATTATTAATAATTAATATTGCTAGTTATGAGTCAAAGGTAAGTTGACTTGTGATTGTGTGGCGAACATGTTTTAATTATTATTTTTATTTTGATGCTAAGATATTCATGTTAGTGTGGTGCATATGTACTCAGCTTTGCTGATTCGTACTTTTGTGCTTGTGTTTGGCTTTGGCTTTCTTTTGGATTGACCCTACTATGACCCATTTATATGGTGAGTAGAGGGTTAAAATAAAAAGGAAGTAACAAGTACTTGAAGCATGAAGAGCATGATGGAATAGAGTGCAGAGAGTTACTTGTTATGTTTTTTAGTTTTAATATTTTGAATTATTGGTTATTGTTTATGGACTAATATTATTATGTTTGTTTTTAATTGGTTTTAAGAAGGACCGTATGTTTAAATTGGTTCCAACTTGTGAATGTTTTATTCTACTTTTGTTTTGAGGTTGTGAACTCAAGTTTTATTTTCGAAAGTTGGTTTTTGTTTTAGACTTCCGCTGTGAGACTTTGAAAACTAGCCTTAGTCGTTATCACGGTGGCGGTAATATTTTGTTTATTTCCTAAAAAGGGTTTTATTTAGAGTAAAATGAGTATTTTTAAAAGAAGGAAATTTCCAAGGTATTACACCAAATGACCTGCTACCTAAGCAACAGGTCAAATTTTTATATTTCTTTTTTTTTCGTTTTGACCACCCTTGACCACCTCATACCAAAAACAACCACCACGTACACCTTTAGCCACCATTAATAGCACCTACAACCACCTCAACACACCAACATCACCACAAGACACCATCACCACTGAACACAACACCTGCCGCCACATAAACACCCACCGAGCGGCAGCAGTCACGCGCATCACGCAATGACCAGCCCGTCATCACCGCCGCTTCCACCATCCTCACCCACTAAAACATAAGAAACATCACGAACCTCAGCTCACCACCATCAAAACTCCCACCATCCACCACCCCCATCCACAACAAACACCACCCTACACCCATCAAAACCTGTCAACACCACCCTCACTCACCACGGACCACCACCAACATGAACCCCAAATGACCCTCAAATTTCAAACCCCAAACTTACCTTTCAAATTTTCAATTATGGTTTTATTTGGTTAAATTTAACCATCAAAACCTCACACTTGAGAGTTTAATGGTGGTGAAGAATTGAAATTAAATAAATAAATAAAAGGAAAAGAGATGATGCAGCGATAAAGAGAAGGGGCACGTGAGGTAAGAAGCAACATGGAGGTGGCAGTTGTAATTTGGAAGGAGGAGGATGAGGGAGAAGAGAGTGAGGGCAGTTTTGACAACGATGGTGGTGCGGGAGATGAGAAAAACGCGGTGGTTAAAGGAGAGAGAAAGAACCGATGGATAAAGAGGATTCGGCCGGGTTTGTGGTGGGGATGACGGAAATGGAGGTGGGTGGGGATTCGGGGCCGGATTCGTGGTGGTTGTTGGGGGTTGTAGTGATGTTGTTGGTGGTAAGTGGGAGGGGAGGTAAGGTGGTAGTGAAGGAGGAAGGATGAAGGAGGTGGTCATGGAGAAAGAGAGAGGAGAGAGAAAGAAGTGGGGTGGGTTTTTGTTTAAAAAATATAATTGTAAATTAAAAAATAAACCAATAAGAAAATGATACGTAGGCAAGGTAACCGGTTATACCGATTTGGTGATCTGCTGGGTTCGATATGGGAAGATGGGGTTCAAAGGTTGGATTATCGTGAAATAATCTAAATGTTGGTTTATTTTGAGAGAATGAGGCAAAGGTTAGATTATTTAAAGTAATTTTTCCAATTATGTATTCATAGTTTGATACATTCAACCACCAAACAATTCTTATAAAATCATTATAATGCTATCAACATATTGTAATTTGTAATTAAGGGGGATGTACAAGGCTTTCATAACATAAGTTAACGTAACCCATCACTATAAATGGTTTTTTTTTTTTTTTTTCCCATATAATGATTATAATATGTGACTGTTACTTGCACTTCACTGCTTAAGTATCAAGATTTCACAACATACATACGTGTGTTGTTCTCAAGATTCTCCCTTTGTATAGTTTTGACTTGATCTACTATTAGACTTTTTCTTGGTAAATAGTAACTGTATAAGGAACTTAGCTTTTACGAGAATTTGAAATATTCAACTTAGTAACTTCACTTATTTAGGTTTTAATTGTATATACTTCGCAGATCAATAATTTTGTGTTTGACTATGTAATAACCCCTCGGCGGGAATTTATGTACTACTTAACATTGATAATTTCTAGTTAAACCATACTCAATTCAAATAAATGTCGGAGAAGAGCTTAACCATATAAAACTTTAAAAGCTCGTCTTTCTTTTCTGTTTTCTCAATATATCAATACGAGATAATTAATCTTATCAATTAACAAATAAATGAGATGTTCTCCTAGCTTGTATAACATTATAATCATATTATATTGGTGGTTTTATAAAGTATGAGAAGAGATACTTGTTAAGTTGTTATGACATATGGTATGATATGATATGATACATCAATATTGAAACAAAAAATGTTGAGTTCAAAGACTAAGTATAAAGGGCTCATGGAAACATTTACAGATTTTGTATCCTTATGATTTATATATTAAAATGGTCACACTTAGAGTTACATGGTCTTTAACTATTAATTCACGTTTTTACCATTAATATTTTAAAACAAAACTTACTAAAAAAAAATTATATAATTTGAATCTAACAAGACATCATATGATGAAATTTTGATATTTATATGAGTGATTTTTTTAAAAATTAAAGTAAGAAGAAGGGGACTCACTAAGAGGGGAGTAAGCAAAAAATCCCTTGATTAATCGAGGACCACGAACATTGGTGACAATATTATATAGTTAAAAGTCTTTATAGTTTTTAAACTTTGACCTTAAAAAGTAAAGTGTAATCATTATACTATAATTATATGAGATCAAAACACCAAACACAAAATTTTATTACGTTCTTTATCAAACCTACAAAGTCAAAAGTGTATTAAGACTCATACCTACAACTTCTCAATGAATTGATACGTTTATAAGTAGAAGAATTTTACATTGAAAAGTAAGTTCCATACTTTTATTATAAGCCTAGACATTTTTGAAAAGGCTTGGACTTTGGCAATTGCGTATATAGCATAGAATTGAAATTGGAATATATTAAATTTTCATACGGAGGTCAATTTTAAGGTTTGACTTTCATGTTTCTTATGGTTGATGGAATATTACCGTTGATATTTACCATAACCACTAGTCCACTATCACTACCAAGTCCCAAATGGCCAATATGTAACAATTACACTCTTACAAGAAAAGATGTAAGACCTTTATTTTACTTTTGATTAGAATAATCTATTTATGCATATGTTACAATTTATACCAATCCAGAGAAGAGTATTACATTCACTCCAAATGCCCAAAAGATGAAAAGATACATACAAATTACAAGAAAAACATCCCACTAATTTTAGTATTTCTATGTATAGAAAGTCATGCCCCAAATCAGCTATTCTAAAGCTTAGATGACACAAGCTAAGCACCCAAATTAGCATATATGCAATTAAGCAAGCATGAAAGCCCAAAAACTCCCTATTAAAACCTGTACTAAACACTAATTCTACCTTAAATTTTACCCTTTTTTTTTTTAACATTTTACATCTTTTGGAAAAAAGACATTTCCAGATGAAAAAATTTACATAACACAACAGAATTAAAAAATTAAACCCAAAAATTATAAATTAAAAAAAAAATGTTTTATTTCTAACCTATACATTAGGAGTAGATGATTTGCCTGCTTGATCAAGGACATCAAGTATTATTGCACGAGTCTTAACAAGTCTATGGAACAACTCCCTAATCTGTAGTTGTAACGGGCCGAGACCATCCTCCATTTTCCGGCATATCTCAGCTAGCTCGGCGACTTGGGTGGCCAATTCGGCCTCCTTCTCCTCCTCCATGGGGTACTGAAAATTATCAGCATAATCCACCAAAGATTGAGCCAATTTATCAATTTTAACCACTTCTTCCATTAGTCCTGGCGAACCTTTTTTTTCTTTCCTTTTCCACTCCTCAGCTATTTTTTCCTGGAGCCCACAGATGCTGTGGGCCCAGTTTGATTGTTTTGGAATCGGGATGTGGGTCCCGAGCCCTGCCCGGTCCTGACAAGGAATAGCTGCGACTAGAGCCCACATTACAAAAACTAGGACCACGTTCATGATGTATACAGTGAGGGCCAACCCTGTCGATTCCCCACCGCGTGGCGCGGTGAGATTGGAGGAGATTGATTGGACTTGCTTGGCAGCTGACCAATTCTTGGCCACTATCCAAGATAGAGACTTGAAGTTCGGCGCGTGGTGCCGGTCTTTCGATGACGCGCCACTTGAGCGCTTCCCAAAGGACCATGATCGCTCGGGCGACTTGCCCGTATTTTCCTTTTCATCCACCACAATTGAACCTTGTAGTGCTGCGAGTGCTCTTCTTGCCCTCCGAATCTGCCAACAATATTAGCAAATATGTAATTATTGTTTTGTTCATCAAATGCATAAATTTCGGCTACCCTTTAAATTCAATTCCATCAATCTTGGATTTTGGTACAGCCATGTCAAATAAATTGGTCAAATATTGAGGATTGGCATACAAAACATCAAATTTTTGAAAGATTGAATTTTTGGTTTTTTCAATGAATATCTTAGATAAAATTTGGTCCATCAAAAAAGAATAATAGAATTCAATTCAACCGTTCAAGTAATAAATTCAAATTTGTTGTGATATATTAGTACAAAATCTTTTAATTCCTTGTTTGACTAAACTTAATGATATATATCATGCAATATGCAACACCCATATGAAATCAATCAGTCAAATTTTCAAATTGACCTTGAAAATTCATCACATTTTGAGCAAAATTCAATCATAAACATAATCAAAAACCAAAATGACAATCTTGAAAAATAGAATTTGAAAGAAATTTAGAGAATTTGGCAATTTTGTTGATTTAATTTACCTGTCCATCGGTACAGGGCCTCTGTTCCAAAGCAGAGACAACAATCTGAGCTTGACTTAGCATAAACTTAATAGCATCAATACCATGATTAATCGCATTACAAATATCCAAACCCTTAACAGCCCTATCCAACAAATCAGGAATAAATCGATCGAGAGGCGATTTCGCAACCTGCGACGGTTCCCGCCCAATCAACAACACAGCCTTAAACTCCGACTCACAACAAAGAAATGCATCAAGAAGTTTCCTAATCCAAGCAATAGAAAGAAGAGTATCACTACCCCAAAAGGGGCTAGAATCCCCGTCGATATCACCCGATATAGGAGAATCACTGGCGGCAGATGAGATCGATATTGATGTCGGTATTGAAGCCGAATGATGGGTGTCTTTTTTATTAGGAGGTAAAAGATCAGAAAATCGATCAGCAATTTTTCTTTGGAAAAGCTCTAAATCTTCAATTTCTCCCTCCATCGAAGCGACTTGATTACGACGAATACTTATCCGGCCGAGGAAGTTCCCTTGATTATCCGCTCCTCCAGTCCACATTTTTAATTTTTTGAATTCAAAGATCAAAATTAATCAAAATAGATGGAATAAAAAAACAGGGGAAAACAGAGGAAGATAAAAACAGTGGAGGAGAGAGAAAGAAGGGAGGGAAGATAAGAAAAAGAAATGCGGTTGACAGTTAAATGAGTTGGGTAGGTGATGTGGAGAGGGGCCCATTATATATGGGAGTTGATGGTCAAGGTTGCCTTTCTGAGGCCAACGACTATTTCTATCTTGTCTAAAATAAAAAAAAAATAAAAAAGAAGTGATTTGTTAATGTCATTTCTCCTTCTAAAAGCTGACTTGGTATGTGTTCTTTTTTGTTGAATTTTATGTTTCCTAAACTACCCTTTTCGTCTACATTCGCGCGTGGATATAGTGCAGCAAATAAGGAATCGAAGGTACTTGTTTATGGTTGTTATAGAGTATTGATTTAAATTCATTAAAAAAATATATATATTTTACACAAAATTCATTAAAGTATTTTTAATGACCAATAAAAGTACAGAGTAATAATAATAATACTTGTATAATTGTATTGGTGACTTGGTGTCATTCAATGGGCATTATTTTATAGATGTCAAATGATTTTAAACATAAGCATGACAATTTTTTTTTTTTTGCAAGACAGTTGTTGTCTAATTCAATAAACAAAAAAGATTAATATTTTTTTTCCCCCAACAAATGGGTTGTGTGCTATTTAATACGGATTATCATACAAATAATTATTTATCTTTTTATGAATTAGAGTCAAGGTTAAAATACACTCTGAATATCTTAAGACTTCATAAATCTTTAATGTAATTATTTTTTTCTTGCAAAAATTTGATAATATATATTTTGAATAAAATTATTTCGTATCACAAAATGATCCAACTTATTAATTTATCTATTTCACAAAATTAAAAACATTTTATTTTTTTGTACTTTTGAACAAATTATCCACATTAGTTTTTTTATTTTTATTATTTAACACAACACATCAGTTTAATACTTCTTCAATTTTGCCACTTTCATACACTAAGTCTTCCTACTTTCCGTTTATGTACACTATATTTTTATTTTCCTATTTTTGATTATTTTTTTTATAGTAAATAAAATTCTCACTTTTATTCCTCCTCGCCCTCACCTCACGATATACAGTCCACAATTCTCTCTCCTATCTAAATGATCTCCCAATTTAAAATGTAAACATTATTCACAACTTAAATGAATCTTCAATTATAAAAGAAAAAAAACATGATTGATTAGGGTAATGTTTGTTTTATTTTATTTTATTTTATTTTATTTATAAATATTAAAAATTTATAAATATTCTTTTTTTGAAACAAATCATTTATAATTTAATAACATATATTAAAGGATACAATAAATTTAAAACGTGCATTGGCAAACATGCTAAAGAAAATGGAAAGAGCTTAAAGGATCCGGAGGACTAGTATATCTTTAAACAACTTTCTCTTTGCTAAAGTTAAAAAAAGAGACTCATTCCCTACTAACTACAAATATCTAAATATTACGCATTTTTACTTACTTGTAGTTGTGGCAATACAGCATTTTACTATTTACTACGGAGTATACCCTCGTTTTCTTTAAGTTTTTCCGGACCATGCACACATAAATCAACAATATACTCGTAATACTGTATTAAAAGAATTATACCAGTACATACCAACCCAGCCTCAAAAACATCTGGAACCTTCGAGGGCAGTTTTGGCAATCAAAGCAAGCTGAGTCAGCAAATGACGGCCCTCAATTTCGCGGAAATGGACGCGTTGTCTTTTGTACGATTTTGTTAAAACAAATACTCGATTTTAGGCTTTGCCTTTGAGCCATTTGACTGCGTCTTGAAGGGCTTTGATTGTCTACAACAGTGGTGCACGATTGTAGATGCTTTTCAACGGTGATCGCGGCCCCATCACCGGCCCACCGGCCCAATATAAGCCTTTTTTTAAATAATCATCTGATTAGTACTCTTCGTTGTTTTTAGATTGCATAACTGGCCCATTCTTTTTAAGTAAAAGATTCTCTCTAGTAATTGACACTCTCAATAAGTGGACTTTTTCTTCTTTGATCTAGGTAGTTCAAAATAATTTGGGATTTTTTTTTTACTGATAGTCTGAGTCTGATACACTATTTGAAAAAGAGATTAGATAATGTAAACAATAGATAAATTAATTAAATAATTTTTGCACATATTATCTAACCCTTTTCTATTCTCGTGATAGAATAGATTTTTTTTTTTTTTTTTTTTTTGAAGGATGATAGAATTATTTGATAAAGTCGTTCAATCAACTTATCTAAATCACCTTCTAAAAATGTGTGTCTTAAGGTTGTGTTGACGGCATTTTCTTGATATACATTCGTTCATTTTTTTATTTGTATTTGGTTTGCCCTAATTTGATATTTTGATGAAATGTTTTAGTACAACTATGTGACTTTCTTGTTTCACTAGACTTAATAGACATTATTTAAAAACAAAAGGGGTAGTAGAATGTACGAGTATAGAAAATGTATACACAACCTAATCTAAAAAATCTGTGTATACTGTCTAGTATGTGCAAGACACATGTTATGCTCCTTCGTTTGAAAATTTTAATTTAGTGTGCTCATTTATCACGGAGTGTAGTTTTACCTACCTTATAAAAAGTACAAGAAAACTCAATCTTATAAATAGTGTGCTTTCTATTCTACCCTTTAAAATGTTTATTTACACATTTATCCTCAATTACTCTTATAAATAGTATGTTTTCAATTTTATCGTTCAAAATATTTAGTTACACATTTACTCTCAAATCTCAATAACTACTTTTTTTAAAATAAAAAAAAATAATGTGTTCAAGCAATTGATACTCCAAAGCGGCAAAGCATTACAAGATCAGTTGACAATGTTTAGTGTTCTAAATTTTGCAGTAGACGAAGAGATGAGTGCAAATTATTGAGTACATTAAAGATAATAAAGGTAATAATTAAGCTGCAATAAAGAAGTTGACTGCTAAAAGCTTTTGGTACGCAGAATGGAGGTTATATTACTTTAATTGTGCAGCATATTGTGTTATCAATCTATCATAGGATGTTTATAGTAATAAACATTCTCCGTTCTTTTTTACTTGACCTGCTTTGACTTTTTAAACTATTTATCACCCCTCCTTTGACCGTCTTTTGTGAATAATATGTAAAGAAAAATATATTTATGTGAGATATTTTTGAATTCATCTCAATAAGTACTATCATAATATATAACTTTTATAATTTTTACTTATGGAGAATTTAAATTAATGATCGTTAAAGTTTTACATTGGCAAGCGTGATAAAAGAAACAAGTCAAGTAAAAAAGAATAGAGGAAGTATATAATTTGCAATAATATCGTTGTAAAAAATACATGAAGTAACCCCGATAATCCGTTCAAAAAAATAAATTAACCCCAATAATAGTGTTGAAGAGCATACAATAACCCATATCACACTATCAAGTAACCTTGTAACATTAATCGAAATCGAGTAATCCCTATAACATTGACGAATTACAACACTAGCTAACGAAGTAACCCTGTTCACACGGTGTGACAAACCACATATAAGAGTTTGCGTTTAGTATTGATAGGAAATAAAGGGTGTAATTGTGTTTGATTAATGCGGAACAAGTCAATGAAAAATTAAGAACGAGAAAAGCAATAAAGAAGATAAACAAATAACACAAGGATTTATGTGGTTCGGGGGGTGGGGGATTCGAGAGCTTCTTCACTATAATGGAGAAAGAACGAGATAATAATAAAAGGAGTCCTAAATCTAATGGCTCAAAAGGTATGATCTAATTGATCAACTAAAAGGTCCCAAGGAAACCCTAATAAAACCCTAAATTGTTCCCCAAGTATACTCAAATAGCCGTCAGAGAAAAGATATAATTTTAGGAAATATCCCATAAATTGTCCTAGAAGAAACGAACTACCGAGCTATAGCTCGACAGCTAGCTCAAGCCTGCCGCAAGTCTTCATAGGGCCGAGCTATAGCTCACTCGCATAGAGCTATAGCTCGCAATCTCGTCGCAACTTTCCAGTTTCGTTAGGTGTTTGTAAAACGGCCATAACTTTCTTATTTCTTATCGGAATTGGGCAAATAACCTACCGTTGGAAATCTCTTGAACCAAGCTATCACCTCCAACTTGAATCACCTCAAAATCACTTATAGTTTGAGAGATATCTGCATTCAAAGTCGGTCCTACTAGATTTCGAGTCACAATTTAACAAGTATAATAGAGACTTCACTAGTAGAAATAACCAATTGGGAAGCGGTTCAAAACCCCTAATGGAAAGCGGTTTTGGCTCCAAACCGCTTCCCATTATGCCTAAAAAAATTAAAAAAAAATATTTATTTTGGTTTTTTTCACTTAAATTGATACACAAACACTTCATATATATATATAAAAATAAATATTTTCATTAATCAATTTTTGTAATATTACTTTTTCATCAAAAAAAAAAAATAAATTAATAATAAATACAATAAAAATGGTTGCTGCTCTTGTTCTACCACCGGACCCAACGCGCACCACCAGCCCTCTATCCTGTATCACCACCACCACCAACCACCTATAACCTTCCTTTAAAAAAAAAAAAAAAAAAAAAAAAACCCACCAAACCCCCACCCAAACCAGATCCGCCTGAAACAAACCAATACAACCACACATCACCATAAAATTTAAAAAAAAATCTCAAAAAACATTAAAAAAAAAGAAAAAAAAGGGAACATACCTTGAATTCTACCAAAACCCTGGAAATTGGCTTGAATTTGGGTTGGTCAAATTTGACCATGAAAACTCTAGATCTAGAGTTTTCATGGTCGAATTTGACATGAAAAACCTGCAGTTTGTATTTAAAATTAAAACCCTAGAATTCCATGCATGGTCGAATTCCACAAGCAATACTGAATTTTGTGAGAAAGAAAGAACAAAGGGAAAGAGAAAAAAGAGAGGAGAAAGGAAGATAGGCGTGAGAAAGAAGAGAGGAGGACAGAGAAGAGGAGCGGAAGAGAAGATGAAAGAGAAAAGAGAAAGAGAAGAGGAGAGAGAGCACGTACCGAGAGAAGAGTAAGAAAACACCGACAAATCGAAGAGAAAGAGAAGGGAAAGAAAGAGGAGAGAGAAAGGGGAAATGAAGGGAGAAGGGGCTAAGGGGGTGGGCAGCTAGTTATTAGGGTTTTGGTTTTTAAATAATGGGGAGCGGTTCAATGTTCAAACCGCTTCCAATTACAATATTTGGAAGCGGTTCACTCATACCCGCTCCCCATTTGTATGTTTTACTTTCTTGTTTTTTGGGGTGGGTTTTTGAAAGCAGAATTCAGTAACTGCTTCCCATTTGGGTAGCCCACTTGCTTTTTTCTACTAGTGCTTTAAATTAATTCTAATAATACGGAATACAAGTAAAATATAGACGTGTGATATTAATCATTTCATGTTTAATTGATTCGTCTTAGTATGTACTTTAAATATATCAAACATTTGCATTTCTAGAATAACTCAATATTTTTTACAACTCTCTCACTATTTCTAAAGTAGGTTGCAAAAGTTTAGAACATTGCAAAGATACATAACATTCGACACATTAATCGCCTATATACAAATATTTATAATAAAATAGTATGCAAATTGGCATAAGGCATAAGGACTAATCGCAGTAACTCTTCTCAAAACGCGCGCTAGCCATACCGCGCGCGAAAACCCCTAGTATAAATAAAGGTTGATATTTAATTATCAAATTAAATATTACTTGTATAATGAGAGATAATAATTTGTTTTTTTAGCGAGATACAGAGGGTCAGAGGGTAAGGCTCTAACTTTGAGAAGTGATACTTAACATAAGTGTTTGTCTAACAGCCTACGAAATAGGGGACGAAGTGATGATTAGTACTTAGTAGACAACATATTTATCCAGAAAATGTTGTCAGAAACCTCCTTATAAAATCACATTTTTTGTGAGAAACCTCCTTATAATTTTTATTTTTTTTGTGAAATCATACCTTAATTTTTTTTTTTTTTTGAAGTCATACCTTATGCCGGAAAAAGAGGTTTAACCCTGTTTTCCAGCGTTGACTACCCCAGCCCCACCCACGAAACCACTCCCCTCCCTAACCCCACCCACAAAACTACCCTTTCACGGCGTTGGCCACCCTAACCCCACCCCTTTCACGACAACCACCCCTCCCTCTTCCCCAAAATCCCCTCCCCTTTCACGAAAGCCTCCCGAATAGCCCCAGCCACCCACGTCAACCCTAACGAAGGAAAGGGAAGAGGAGGTTTCGGGGTGGTTAGAGGTGAGGGTTGTTGGCTTCGAGGGTGGAGGGCAATTTCGTGGGGTGAGGGAAAGGAGTGAGGGGGCGGTTTTGTGGGTGGGGTTGGGGTAGTCAACACCTAAAAATAGGGTCAAACCCCATTTTTCGGCATAAAGGTATGACTTCGTAAAAAAAAATTTGTTTAAGGTATGATCTTACAAAAAATATTTCTTATAAGTAGGCTTCTCACAAAAAATTTGTTTTATAAAGAGGTTTCTGACAAATGTATAAAGTTCTATTTCATATAAAATATTGCTTATGTATGTTTTTCTATGACAGTGACACATCTTATAATCAACCAAACGAGTTTTTGCAATTTTCAAGAGTCGAAACTTCACAAAAAAAAAATGTCATATGATATAATAGTTCATAAAAATAAACAAATGACCACTACAAAAGTAAAAATAATGTAGAGCTATCAATTTTTCATATGGACAAACTAAATTTGGATGAAGGAAAAAGAAAAGTGAACACATGAAATGTAATACAAAGCCTTATCTTGGCATTTTATATCTTTATTTCATTTTATTGGTCTTAGCTTAAGAGCACTTAGAGCAGGGAAGAATTTCTCCTCTAGAATTTTTTTTCCCCAAAAAAGTACCCCACCAACGAAATTTCTCAAAAAAATTCTAGAATTTTTTTTTCTCTTGGAGAAATATTTCTCAACTTTCATCTTACTGCTATGGACTGACTATTGGTGGGGTAGGGCGCAAGTTTTGGTTTTTTTTTTTGATTATTTTCGTGTGGGGCCCACCAAAAAAATAAACATACAATAAATATTTAACGGTAAAATTGCAAAAGTTGTAGAGAGATTAAATGTTAGTCAATGATCTTCTTACACGTGTCATTTTTTGGAAGCACTTTATTCTAACAGTAAAAATGTTACCATTTTAGTGTAAAACGACTATTTTGTATACAGTAAATTATTTTTTTAAAAAAAAACAAAAATTACCAACGGAAAAAAATTCTCTATAAGTAGACATCCATTTTTCCATATTTTGATACAGATGAAAATATTGTTTTTCACTCTTTAAATTCCTTAACTGTATCATTTAAGTGTTTAATTAAATTTTATCCCCTAAATTTTTGTGTTATTTTGTTCCCTTTTTTAAAAGTAAAAATGGATCCTAATAATCCCAATCGTTCAAAACTTTGATCCTTCATCACTTATGAATCATCTACAATTTTCTCAGTTTTTTCCAATGTATGGAGGAAATTTTCCAAATTTTCCTAATATTCTTCCACAACAACCACCTCTAGAAGAAATGACTCCACCAACTCACCAAAATTACAACCAATCTCCACAAGTCTATCAAGGAAGTAATAGTCAATTCATTAGTGATGAAGAAGAAACCGTTCCAGAGACACCACAGTATCCCCCAGAGCGAAATAAGTCAATTCCAGTTGCAACAAACACCCGTTGATTGGTCTTTTAAAGAAGAAGAAGCTCAAATTGAGGCCTACTTCAACAATTGCACAAATGGAATTATTGGCAAAGATAGAAAATTTGCTGACCTTTGGAGAGATATACATCGAGAATATCTTGCGGCTCATCTATCTCGACCACATGAGATTCCAGAGCGGAACAAGAACATGTTGGAGACTCATTGGAGGAGGATGGCCGCCGACCCACTCATCTGGGCAAGTGTTATGGAAGAAGTTGGTAAAATAATGGGAAGTGGGTACAATGATAGTGATGTGGTAAAAAATGCCCATGAATTGTTTCTAAGGTCTTGTCAAAATTCACCAAGAAATTTTAAATTTCAATATGCGTGGGGAAAGGTGAACGAATATCCAAAGTGGAGAAAGTTCATGAGGTGGGGTCTGAATAAGGAAGAAAGGAAGAAAGTTGATGCTGAACACAATGCGGAAAAAGAAGTTGAAGAGAGCAGCGGTAGTGGTAAAAGAACTAGAGACGATGCTACTAGTTGTTTTGTATCTGGAGGTATAAGTCGCTCAGCTGGTGTTAAGAATGCCAAGGCCAGAATAAAAGGCAAAGGGGTAGCATCAGAAGATTTGACAGTTGTTGGTGAACAGATGAAAGTTTACAATGATAAACACGATGTTGAGGTTACCCTTAAACAAAAGAAACTTGATTTTGATATGGAAAAGGAAATGAGGAAGCAAAGACAACTAGAGTTGGAGGAGAAAAATTTCCAAATGCAACAAGAGAAGATGGAGGCAGATAAATTGAATTGAAAATTCGATACATTGCAAGTGTCGTTGTCTAAGACATCGCTTAGCGAAATGGAATCATATTGCAAATGGAATCATATTATATGAACAAACGTGCCTCATTCATTCTATATAAAGACTATATGAATGCTTTGCAATACACATTCAAAACATCATCCACAGAAATTTACTAAAATTAACACAAATATTGTTTCAAAAAAGCTCTTCAAGCTTAAGTTCTTCATCTGATAGTAATGAAGAATTTCACCAAGTTATTGACGACCTTGTCAACAATCACTTACCATCTAAATTGTACCCAACACCTTCACCTCGAAATCAACGTAATAATACAAATGCTCATGTTCTAGTTCAAATGGATAGAAATCAAGAACAAGGGCATAACCAATTGTTCAACGACTACTTTGCGGATCCTCCAGTATATAATGAGATCAGTTTCGCTGGAGGTTTCGGATGAAACGACCTCTGTTTTGTAAGATTGTGAATAAGATTGTGGAAAATGATGAGTTTTTCCAGCAAAGGCGAAATGCATCTGGGAAGTTGGGGTTGTCTGGACTCCAAAAATGCACGGCAGCGATGAGAATGTTAGCGTATGGGGTGGCTCCTAACGCAGTTGACGAGTATCTTCATATGGGTCAAACAACTGCACGGAATTGAAATGTCTAAAAATTTTCTGTGAAGGGGTAATCAAGGAATTTGAAGCTGAATATTTACGAAGCTCGACGGACAAAGACCTACGAAAGATCCTTTATAGAAATGACCAACGAGGTTTTCCAGGGATGATTGGCAGTATTGATTGTATGCATTGGGAGTGGAAGAATTGCCCAAATGCATAGAAAGGTCAATATTGCGGACGAAATAAGAACGCAACCCTCATTTTAGAAGCAATTATAGATGAAGATCTATGGATATGGCATTCTTTTTCGATATTCCAGGTTCTTGTAATGACCTTAATTTACTTAACTGTTCACCAATTTTTACTGATGTTTTGCAAGGTCAAGCACCTCCAGTGAAGTTTAATGTCAATGGCCATGAATACAACATGGCTTACTACTTAGCTGATGGTATTTATCCAAGTTGGGCTACTTTTGTGCAAGGATTTACCAATCCTCAAACTCATAAGCATATGCTTTTTGTTGAACGACAAGCTGCTACACGTAAAGATGTTGAACGTGCATTTGGTGTCCTACAAGCGAGGTTTGCAATCGTACGACAACCAGCTCTTGCTTACGATGAAGATGTGCTAGCTGACATTATGAAGGCTTGTATAATAATTCATAACATGATAGTAGAGGATGAACGAGATACTTATAAGAATGCTGAAGTAACAAGAAAATATTACGAAACAGATCGCCCAATGTCGCGTCTAGGAGGTGAAGCTAGTATAAGTGGTGCCATAAATAATGATGAGACATTTCAGTTTCAAACAGGACGTCCTATCGACATTAATAAATACTTGGAGATAAGGGACGCTATGCGTAATAGACGAACTCATCAATCCTTGAAAGATGACTTGATAGAGCACATTTGGGAAAAGTTTGGTGACAATAATCCTTAAAATCTAATGACGCTTTAATTATCATGTATCGTAATCATATTTCACTTTTTATTAATGTAATGTATTTCTAGTTTTATTACTTGTGTCTTACAATAATCATTATTATTAATTAGTTCGTAATTAATTAAAGTCACAATTTTAATTAATTACAATTTAATTATCATCAAGTATATGGGTTGGAAATATTATGGAAAGTAATTAATATAAAAATTGAAAATAAGTAAGAGACAGAATATAGTGGGGTATAGTAAAAAGTAAGAAAGAGAGCGGTGAGGGAATTTTTTGGTTTGTTGTTGGTGGGATGAAAAAAATTCTTTCTTTAAAAATCTGATGTGGAAGAGAAGGAAAGGTAGAGAGAGAGTGAAGAGGAATTCCCCCCCCCCTATGATAGTGCTCTAATAGTTAATACCAATGTTAACACACACACACGAAAAAAAAGAAAAAAAAATAAAAATAAAAATAAAAATAATAATAATAATAATAATAATAATAATAATAATAATAATAATAAAAAATTATATTCTTATCTCCTACCAATGTCAAACTGTCAATACAATACACTGACGTCAGACAACATATGTTGTGCTAATAATAACGGTACAATTCGCAATTAAGAATTTAAGATAATGTGGGCAACTATGAATTGCCACTTGAAATGTCAAAAATGGTCTAATTTTTAGCAATTTTAGGTTAAAGGCTAGGGAATGATTTAGATGTAAGAAACTTAAGGGATAATGTATTGGATTATATTTGACTACTAATGAAAGTGAAAATCCAATCCAAAGATCTATTACATATAGTTACATTTTATAAGGAGATAACTCAAGCATGCTTATGATTCACCAAAAAGCCAGGCAATAGGTAGCAAATGACTTTACTCATTTATCAACGATACTTTATAGAGTATATGAATCAATCATGAGTTCCAACTATGTATCAGCTTAAACTTTTGATTAAGTTGGTCATCTAACCTGATGTCAAGAGCATAAATCATAAATGCAAAAATTAGCTATGGAGAGACAAATATATTACTTGGTATAAAAGCAATATTATGAACTATGAATGGTTACTAAATCTTTGTCTGCAACGATAAGATCTTCTTTTACAACTCATTAGTACGTTCTTATTAATCATCATGATCAGCTAGCATCCCAGCATATTTGAGCTTAAAATTCCATTTATTCGGCTGATCTTCTTTAAAGATGTGATTAGAAGTCATCATTTTGCAGCTAATTATTACAGATGATGATTAATTCTGAATTGAGTTTTCTTTTGCTTTATTAAGCAAAAAATAAAAAAAATAAAATAAAAATACTTTAGTAATAAAGTCTTCATTAAAAAAAGATATGAGAATTATTTAATCATTTCTAAAGATGTACTAGTTAAGAATGTTATTACAATATATATGATGAGGCGGTAACGATTAACCATTCTCTAAACTATTCCCTCTGTGATAAGAAAATGGTAATAAGAATTTAAAATAGCATGAATCAAACCGATCAATTAAGCTATCTCATAGAGCAATAAGTGAATAACTAGGGTTGAAGGTGTTGAATAATTTAGAGTATTATAGACAAAATTCATGTTGTTTGGTTAATTAGCTTAGGTTAAGGTGCTGCTATTAACATAAATAAGGATTAGAAACAATTATATTCTCGATTTAGAGAAGTGGTCCTCCGCCCTGTAGGTCGTCCGACGAGAACGAAAAAGATTATTGTTGGGCAATCGCTCCACAGGCCCATCATCGCCCGACAGGGTGTGAAAGCACTCAAGTTTATCTTGGTTGCTTGTTTTCTCTCGCCCGACAGGGCGCGGGTCTTTGTCTGGTTGAACGGTGGCAATTTTCTTCGTGATGTTCCTGGTAAATTAGGAAGTAAGTCAAGTTGTAAATTTTAATTGCAAAAAAGATTCATACCCTAATTTTCTTTGTACAGTAGTATTTATTGATAGGTTAAATAGAGAATAGCTATTGAGAGAGTGATTCTCTCATCCTCCAAATCTCTCTATTACTGACACATTTCATTATTACAACAAACGAGCTAGTTTTATTGCTAGCTACTCCCTAATGTCCCTACTATTTTTTCGATGTTATTGCCTTGATTGTTACAATTTATTTTACAACATGTACATTAGTAAATATAAATCTATACTTATATATTAAAAAGCATTCCTAAAATTATTTATATGTCATGTTAGGCCATTCCCTCCTTAACAAGCATTGTGCCATGTCATCTATCACTCAACAAGTATTGTGCCACATCATCACCAAACAACACGTCATCATAAAAAAAAGTATATCATTATGGGTTTCAAACACTAAACCTTGAGGAAACAAGATCAAACTCCTTACCATCTTAGCCAATAATAAATCATGTCATCTTTATAAATAAATACAAGTTATACAACTATAAATGGCAGGCGCAAAATAAAAAAAGAAACTAGATACGCAACTTGGGAAAAAAAAAGAGGAATATAATCAACATTTCCCAAATAATGGAGAATTAAAAATTGTCTTCCTATATTTTTTTTATTAATTAATAGCATTTTTTTAACAACGTTAATTAGTAACATTATGTTTAACATTTATGCACAACATACTCAAACAACCTATGCTTTATCAATTCACAGATCATAATACCACAATTATAATACATATTTGACAAAATGAAAAAAATAAAAATAAAATAGGATGATAGAAAAAAATTCGTAAGGAAAAAAAAACAATCAAAGCGGTAACTCGGTGCAACGCCCGAGCCGCACACTAGTTGAATATATACGTGTCTCTTTTATCAATGCATCCTTTTTTCACAAATTTTACCACTTTATAATTTAAAAACTTATTGATGTTATAAAATAAAGAGAGGGGGGGGGGGGGAATTGAGAGAAGTTGTAGAGAGAATAATCATGCTCTAATTCATTACTAGAAGGGATATACTAGTATAATTATAAATACATATGATGTAACTAAAGTTGATAATTTAGAGAACATCAATAAACCCTAAACTTAAAATATTCTGGAAAGATATATACAAGAATATAAATCATAAAATGGCATCCACATAATACTCTAATTCATAACAATTGATCTTTGATCATAATAGTTTAATTACTAGCCAATTAAATGGTAGGCCCTAAGAAAGATTTCATTTCAAAGCTAAGTGTAATAATTAAACCCCTTTTTCATATTCTAGCCAACAAGCTTCTTTATGATATATTAATCTCTCTATTTAGTCTTAGGCCAAAATGATTTGCTTGTTACTTTCTCAAATCATTTTGCTATTCATCCAAGCAAATGTCACCTCAATCACTCCATTTATATTAAATGCGGTAGATAATCAACATCATTCAACAGAAACTTCAATCAACATACAAAATTTTAAACATTATTTTAGGGTCTTAATTAAATTAATTAGAGTTCTTTTGGAAATTAGTATCATATAATATACATACACAATATTTAACAATAACACTAGTGGTACGTGAACACGATCGAGTTTCATGTCCTCACATAATTATACTACTCTGACCCGTAAACTTTGTAACTAATTAATCTTCTTGTATGCTTATAATATGGCCATATTTTCACTTTTTCTCTTGATAGCAATAGGTGCACTACCAGCACTACGTACAATTGAGAAAGTACTAGTGTACAATTCCTTTCTTCTTTTCTGTTTATTGTTTATTTTTAGTTTGGGGGTTTACCTGAATTATTTATTGTTATATTTGTTTCAAATTATTTGCAATGATTAGACATATTCTATCCATATTTTATGTCAATGGATATTTTGGAGATGACGTGCATAGATGTAAAAAGTAGCATATTAAACTATAACGCTTAAGTCGTAATACATAGGCACAAGAAACTAAGATAAAGGTTCAAGTGAGCTTATACAGATAAATAATGTATCAACCCATTCAATTCTAAACGAATCTTACCTTGTATTTATAGGCTATATAGTTATATTATATATAGAATATTTGATGACAGCACCATTTGAAAAGGAGATGAAACTGATAAGTTAACTAAAACAAATAAGACGTTGAAACATCATAACATTTTTTTTTTGACAAGAATTGAAACATCATAACATAACTCAACCAAGGCTTTCCTTTTATTTTAGTATCTTAATTTTTGTTTTAATAAGTAGTTAATACGTAATATATAGATTTCAAGGAACCCATAAATTCTATTAATAGTTAAACTGGATATATTAAATAAAACAACGCTAATAATTCAGAAAAATTATATTCAAATTTTCATTAATGAAATGTACTTTTAAAAATACATACAGTATGATATGGAGTATTGGAGTACATACAAGGTTACCCTAGGTATTTTATTGACCTATATAGATGTTGAATATGTTGGTAGTAGACATTTCAAATCAACTAAAGTCTAAAAGTACACAAGTGACCCCTTGACGTGCATATTCAACTCATGGTTCATGATTCTATAACTTATTTTTTTTATGGAATAGTAGAAATTAATAACCTATCTTTGGCTTTTTTCCTTAAAACAATCCTATCTTTTCAAAATTTGGAAACAATTTCACCTTTAACTCCCATATTTTCAAAACGAGCCTTTTACCGGATTATCAAGTTATTAACCTGTTGATGAAGGTTAAATGCCACGTGTCTTCTTTTATTAGTCGTATTTTAATTTTTTAAAAATAATTATAAAAAAAATAAAAAACAAAAATGATTAAAAAAAAAAAGCAGCCCCCCACCCTCTTCCCTTTCCTGTTCCCCTTCCCTCTTCCGTCTAATCAGCATCCCCCACCCCCCTGCGGAGCACCCACTGCCGGAGCACTTCCCTTCCACGCCAAAAACACCCTCACGCCATTCCCCGATTCCCTCCCCTTCCCTACCTTGCCTCTTCCCCGATTATAGCCCGTTGGACCACGTGGGGTGGGTGGGGGGTCTGCTGGACATACGGGATTAAGGTTCTGGGTTGGGTCAGGTACTAGTGTCATGGTGTGGTGGTGTTGGTGAGGTAGTGGTTATGGAGAAAGTGGTGGTTATGGAGTTTTCAGGTGGTCAAGGTAAGAGATGAAGGAGGAGAGATATTGAAGAAAAGGAAAAAATAAAATTACCTATAGAACAAGTTGGAGGTAAAAGAATCATTTTGAGTAGACGGGGGTTGAAAGTGAGATTGTTTTCAGATTTCGAAAAGGTGGGATTAATTTGAGCAGAAAAGCTAAAGGTGGGACTATAAGTTTCCATTTTTCCTTATTTTATTGGTTTAATTTCTAAGTTAAGTACACCCCTAAATGAAGTTTTTCATGTATAATTATTATGCATACACTTTCATTATCACTCTGATTTATATCTTAATCAATACTTTATTATCATAAACAAAATATAATGAAAGGATGAGAAGATTTGTGGACCAATACATACTAACCTAATGTGGAAAGGATGATGTCAATACATGGTACGATTTATACAAAATTAGCTCTTAAGTCCTGGTACAATAAGCATTAAGTCTTTCTAATTAAGCAAAGAACATAATTAACCAATATTGATTAGGACTTTTATTGTGTTTTGCAATACTCAAATCATAGGGTTTTCAGACAAATGCAATCCATCATATTATATAGGGAGTGGCAACAATCAAAGATTATTAGAAATAAGTTTTAATCGTTACTGTAATTAAGTTCAGTAAATATAATTTACATTTAAAAAAAAAATTGACTAGATTAATTAAAACTTTTTTTTTTATATACAATGTTTTTTGTTATTGAAAAATGAAAATGTTTCATCTTCTATTAGATGGTGACAAAAAAAATAAAAGGTTGGTGTCATTGTAATACGGAGTAATTAATTAACAAAATTGCTTATAGGAGTACGTACCCCGAATTTAGGAAGATTAACAATGTTATACAGACATAAAGTACTTTTCAAAGAAACAAACTGCCATTAACCTATAAATTTATTTGATTGGTATCAACATATACTCTTCAATTCTTCATACTATACCTTTCTGTCCATATGTACAAACTGAAAAGCATACACTCATTTAATTTAAAAGGCATCTAATCCACTTTTAAATCAATAGAAAGCAACAAAGTACCTTACATGTTCCCGTCAAAAAAATAAAATATATATAAAAAAAAAAAGTACCTTACATGTTCAAAGTAATTATAGAAGCAAAATTTAGGAGCATAACAAATTAACTACCACTATGCATTATGATAGATTAAATTAGTTATTATTGTATGGTGTAACTTTAATTAATTACGGATCTAACCTGTATATAGGCATATAGCCATTCCATTCAATAAGACAATAACGACAATATGAGATCAAAAGCAATGTATACGGAGTACAACTTCGTATCAAATACGTACGAAGGGGAGTTTTGAGTGCCTAATTAAATATAAAGATAGTTTAATTAATCTTAATATAACTGTGATTTCAGTTTTCCAAAAAATAAATATATAAATAAATAATTGTGATTTCTACGACACTACTTAATACATATATACAGTATATTGAATGAAATTTCATAGTAAAGATAGATAACCATGAAAATAATATATAAAATCATAGAAATTTTGTTTTGGATTCAACCAAACCAACTTTGTATACTCGGATTATGCATGGTACATTAATAACTAACCTGGTTGATAGGTGATTATAAATGATGATAGTGATAATATACTCCACTTTAATTCATATGAAGTACGAAGTATGTAATTATTTTGTATAATAAGCTTTATTAGTGCAATATTCATGATAGATATTCATCTTATATATTTGTAAAACACATATTTGGAGAAAATTTGAAACTTAAAATAAAGAGCACATAAAATTTTATATCATTACCTTATATTCCGCGTATATTGGTTTAGGGAATATGATTATTAGGGCCAATAATCCTTTGTCTAATACTTGAAGCTTGTATAGTATAATACATACATTATTTACATACTAAGGGTGGCTCAAGGAAACCAGTTCCGATGATAAAGTCAAATTTGTACTCCGTAATGTAATATAAAATGATTTAAGAAATGTAATCATCACTTGCTATACTTGGCCTTAGCTTATGGATCGAAGTATAGATCAATTGCATGTCATGTATCATGTAATCATGCATGACAAATCATCACTTGACAAATGAATCGAGGTAAACAAGGGTGAATTTGGAGTTTTGATGTTGACGTGGCAGATTTCTACTTGCTATAGAGGGAGCATAGTGGGACAGGGTATGTCTATAAATAATTATGCAATGTGTACGTGATAGTTTGTTATATGTAACAAAATTATAAATAAAATACATATATAATTCTTATATGAAGTAGAGTAAGATTATTTTCATTGGAGAAATGATGAAAAACATGTATAGTTTGATGAAAGGTCATTTTAAAGGGGTTAGATTTAGATGCAATTGGTCCCATGCATTGGACGCTCTTCTTCCTCCTTCATTTTCAAATGTCGGCTCTTTTACAAATACCATATATATAAAATTGGCTTTAACTAAGAGAGAGACTTGCTACTTGAATTTTACTCATTTAATTCTTCTTTCTTCTTGATTATTCTTAATAAATTCTAGTTTAATTAGTTTCTTGTATTTTGTAAGCCACTTATTAAAAAGTGTGGAATGAACTAACTAGATATCTAGCAATTCAAGGACTAGTGAATACTTGTGTATAGCTACAAAAATGGTGCACCATTCTTGTTGTAATCAACAAAAGGTTAAGAGAGGGCTATGGTCACCCGAGGAAGACGAGAAGCTCATGCGATATATTTCTACACATGGCTATGGTTGTTGGAGTGAAGTCCCTGAGAAAGCTGGTTTGAGCTCCCCCTACTCACTCATTTAGTCTTTTATCGTTTGATTTCTTTCTTACTAATTATGTATTGAGAGATTTTTTATGACTCTTTCTTCGGAGCATGCACTCCCATCATACACTAGTCACGTACTTTGTATACCTGTCTATATGATATGCACGAGTTGGTACTTGCTTGGTACGAGTATATGCTCCTACAAACATGGTGTAATATGTTGTATGTACATAAAATCTAAATTAATATGCATGTAATGTATTAGTTTGACGTGACAATGTTAAGCTAATGTTAGTCTAATTTTATGTATGAAAAAATGCAAGTTAAACCAATTGAGCTATTTATTTAGTCCCTTAAGAATACTTGAAATAAGAGCAAAAAAAAAAAAAAAAAAAAAATCATAGCGAGCTAGGATCATGCATTTCTCATTTAGGTTTCAATGAGATAGGCAAAAATCAAAGTTTTTATAATTTGGTCACATTTTGATTGATGAATATAGTGGAAACCATATAAATTTACCCTAGAAACTTTCGATAAGTATCACTCAATTAAGTTTTTCATAGTAAAAACAAAGTACACTATAAAGAACTATTTAAATCAAGTACGTAATGCATTATGACTTTCTATATATGGCAGGTGTTTTTATACTATTTTATAGATCAACATTCTAAATAACAATGTCTAATATTCTACGAAATTTTCTTGGGTTAGGGCTTCAAAGATGTGGCAAGAGTTGTCGTTTACGATGGATCAACTACTTAAGACCTGATATAAGGAGAGGAAGGTTCACTCCAGAAGAAGAGAAATTGATCATCAATCTTCATGAAGTTGTAGGCAACAGGTTCAACTGCTTAAATTTTCCTAATTCCATTTATAATTACATTACTTGCAAAGTTGAAATAAGCATACAATGCAAGGCTGCTAATGCATTGTTATTATTAGTAATTTAATTTAATATAATTTGATCGATATAAATTTAATTTGCATACTAACTCTTTATGTAGTTCATCAAGATCAACCCTCTTCTCCTAGATGTTTTCGATATCCTTTTTTAATTTTTGGTGAAAGAACTCGGTGTCTTTTTCGAGTATGACATATTGATCAAGTTGTTGCATACTTGCTAATAGACCATAGATTCTAATTAGCCCTCATTTTCTCACTTCTATTGTCATTAACAAGCAACATCAATTGATTTGTAAACAGTAGAAATTACCAACTTGATTAATTGCTGAACAACTGAACATTAGCTTCTAAACTAAGTTTGAGTAGAAATTCATCAACTCTAAATATATATTCAAATAATGTATCTTGTACACTAAGTTTATACTACTATTTATGAGAAAACTTCATGCACGTTTTTTTGTACAAATTTAGAATACTAAACTATTACACATGTTTAATACACCTTGAAGCAAGTTTGAGGATGGCTGGCTTGCCTTTCAGTTGGAATTCTCACATCATAGCACTATTCATAAGTTGCCTAATTACTTCCCTTTCTTCCTTCCATTTTGTCAACTAATAACTACCACTAATACAAAATATTTGGCCAAGTATGAACTATCAATCTATAGTATTACTTTCAATTTTCTTTCCTTATGTGGATTTGTTACATCATCCTTTTCAATATTATAGTCGCCTTTATATTCATCGTTTTTGTACGTTTCACGTAAACTGTCATATATATATATGTCAATTCTCGATCTATATACTTGACTAAAAATAATAACTATTCGCTCCATTCCTATTTACATTAATATTTTAATTCACTTTATTTTATTACCTGTGAAGGGTTAGTCAAACAATATAAACTTTATATGATATACATATTAGTGTAACATATACTCCATAGATCATTATATTTTAAAGAGTAACTTAGGTTAATAAGGTAAGATTTTGTTTGAATAAAATAATAAGATTATCCATAGCTAGTTTGCATTGATATATCTATATGTATGACATAGCCATTTGAATGATATGCAGATGGGCACATATAGCAAGTCACTTACCAGGAAGAACAGACAATGAGATTAAGAATTATTGGAATTCATGGATCAAGAAAAAGATCCGAAAGCCCATGTCTTCCTCCACATCGTCTGCCCCTTCAACTATGAACACAACCACCACCACCACCACTTCCGCGCAAGCCCATGCATCCATCAGCTCCTCTAATTACCCGTTTATCATAAGGTTTGGACCCGACCCAATTCACAGGGTGAATCAAGATGGGCCCACAAAGGAGGGCACAATATCCACACAAGAAAATAACACAACCCTAATCCCTTCCTCTTGTCCCTTATTCATGTTCGACACAAGTACCCAAATCGACCCTGTTATTGGTGACAACATTGGTATTACTAGTAGTAATGCCATGGGGTTAAGTACATCTTATCAACAAGAAGTTTGGAATTCTTGTAACATGCCAATATTCACTAATATTGGCACTACTACTAATATGCCAATATTTACTAACTGCACCACTAGTACTATAAGTACTATTAGTGGGTTGGATTTAATTACTAACAATAATAGCAATAATTATATGCCAAGTTTGGTAGATAGTATGGATAGCATGGTTCCAAATGAGGTACAATCATGTACAAGTGAAGGTATTGATCAAGAACATTATCGAATGGCGGTAAATCAATGCGTGCCAAGGCAACATGACAACGATCATCATGATCAATTGGTGGGTGTTAATGGATGGGCGATGATTGAATCACAAAGTTGCCCTAGTTTATTATTTTGGGATCAAGTTGAAGGTTTGACTCTTAATAATATTGGTGATGAGGAGCATCAACTTGGACCGTCTTCATCGTCGAACACAGGAACATTCCTTTCTTCTTTCCCTTCTCCTTTGTGAGGAATTGATCTGCAAAATGATCGAGCTACAGAGTTTACTGATTTTTCTTTCAATTCAAACAAAGGGCTTGATTTGGAGGATTTTTTTTTTTTTTTTTTTTTTTTTTTTTTTTTGGGTTTGATTTTTTATTGCTTATTTATATATACAATGGTTGAGTGTGGTGAGGTGCTAACTTGAAGTTTGTATAAATGATGTGATGTACTCATTAATTTTTTTATGGTAAGTAGAAGGGGACTCATTTGAGGAGGAAGATAAGGAAAATCCCTCAAATGAGTTTTATGAGATTTGATCCATAGATCACAGGGATTTGAGGTGTGAAGCGACGCCACTATTCCACCTTAACTTTATACTATGTAATTCATAATACGTAACTATACATAAAGTGTATTCTTTTTATTTTTACTTTAGTCGAAATACAAAATGATAAAAGGAATTCAACAGCTTGATGAAATGGTGGTTTAGTCCATTTGTTACTATTTTCAATCTTTTCCGACACAAACAAACAAGGATTATATACTCTATCTACTCTTATCCCATTTAGCAATTCTATTTCTATCCTCCCCCACCCTCTCTATCCATCAACCATCTCACATACCAAACGCCTTGAATATAATATGAATACAATCATAATATTATGGAATTTAATTTATTAAAGCTTATGTTACACGAATGAATAATCATCTTATAAAACCCTTGTGGGTACATGACATGATTTCACAATAGGCCAATGTATTTACCAAGTTTAGATGTGGCAATTGGATGGGTTGTTCAGATAGGGTTTAGATCACATTAATTTAATTTGGGTTAAACTTGATCAAATCGGGTAGGATCAACTCAAGGTCTTTTTTTGTTTAAATGTCAACATATATGCTTATTTTAATAGAATAAAGTATAGACACATTGGTTATCGAGTTGGGGTCAAAATAAAATCAAGTGATTTGATTTTAAAAGAGTTAGGGTTTCATTTCGAGTATTTCAGACCGGTGTAATTTTTTTTTTTTTTTTTGTTTTTTTTTTTTTTTTTGTGTGTGTGTGTGTGTGTGTTTTGTGTAAAGTCTGACCTAGATAGTATTTTGATTTGGAGATGTATAGACCCGAAATCTAAACTCTATATATCCAAAATTTGTTTGAGTTACAAAGTAACAATCAATGTGCCTAATAACGATTACATTATCAATATTACTATTACTATATTAGCATATTGTGAAAAAAAATATAATAACAATCCAATCTAGACTTTAATATCAATATGAATGAGTCTTCACCTAAACCGTAACCAAACAACTCGATTGTCACCTCTACATAACGGGCTTAAATCTCTAAGTCGATCACTCGCTACCTACGAAAAAAATGAAAATGATTAATGTTAAGCCCAATGAAGGTAGCGCTTTAAGGCCCAAAAGAAAGAAAAAAAAGGTGTTAAAAAACAAAGGAAATAAGAAAACTAGGGTTTCTCTGCGATTTAAGCTTATTATTTCAAGTTAGTATTGCGGCACTTTACATCGATTCCCAGATCACCTTTCTTCTTCCCCTCACCATGGTATTCCCCTATTTCATTTCACATTCGCTCTTTTTGTTTTGATTTTTAGATTTGTTACGATGGTTTACTTTGGAATTAATTAAATTTTTTTGGATGTTGTTGAACAGATTATCACTGAGAAGAACCGCCGTGAGATCAGCAAGTACCTCTTCCAAGGTCATCTCTCTCTCCTAATTATGTTTTTTTTTTTTTTAAACAAAATTTCATATTGTGGATGCAAATTTGTATGAAAAGACTGTATTTTTCCCATTTATTTTTCATATTTGATTTTTGATGGTAAATTATTTGTTTAGAATAAATTTAGATGATATGATTAACTTGGTTTTGCTAATGTGACTTATAGTTGATTATCAATAACAGCTGAAATATGTGTGTGTGTGTGTGTGTGTGTTTTTTTTTTTTTTTTTTTTTTTTTTTTTTTGTTTGTTTGTTTGTTGTATGTAGAAATTATCATGAAGTTGCTTTAGCTTTAATTTGTTTGACAGCTGAAATGTGTAATTTGGTTATTTTATTGGGTTTTTGTTTGTAGATATTAGCATATTACCAGTTGCTTTAGCTTTAGTTTGTTTTACTATTGGATTATTGGGAGTTTAAGGAACTGATGAATCTGGGTTGCATTTGGTGTTTATTTTGTATGGTAAATGTGATAGCTACAACAGTAGCTTAATACAGAGTTTACTAATTTAGTTCTGAATTATTCAGCTTCAACTATGCTGGTTGAATGTAGATTGCATTTATTATCATTTTTTCAAGAATTGTACTCTGTATCTTGTTTTAATTTGAAAATACTGTAACATTTCTAAATTTTTCTTTAAGAAATGTTTCAGCCAGGTGGTTAGATTGTGAATTTTACTGTCGTATAAGTACAGAAAATAATCCTCTAAGCTGACTTGGTCGAATCACGAATGTCAAATGTGGTGACAAATAGTGTTAAGTTACTATTATGAATACTCAGCAGCATATGGCTTGTGCTACTTCATGTGTCTTCATCTATTGTATCTCATAATGGCATTGCATCTTGTATACTGCGTACGAAGTACTAATTGTTGAGCTTTCCTTTTAAAACACTTTGCAATGCTTGCATGTTGTCATTTGTCATGTGCTAATTGATTGTTTTGAGGGGTTCAATGAGACCTAGACATTGATTAAGAGTGAGTTTGATGTTCTGATTTTGAAGTGCTAATGTGGCTTTATCAGAGGGAGTTTGCTTTGCAAAGAAGGACTACAACTTGGCCAAGCACCCAGACATTGATGTCCCTAATCTGCAAGTGATCAAGCTGATGCAAAGCTTTAAGTCAAAGGAGTATGTGAGGGAAACCTTTGCTTGGATGCACTACTACTGGTATCTGACCAATGAGGGTATTGAATTTCTCCGCAATTATCTCAACCTCCCCTCTGAGATTGTTCCTGCTACCTTAAAGAAGCAAGCAAAGCCTGCTGGCAGGCCCATGGGTGGTGCTCCTGGACCACGGTAATTGCCTATTTTCATTTTCTCCAAGTTCTTCAAGTCGTGTAATTGTATGGTATTTGAGTACGCTACGGTACTTTCATTATTTGTTCTCGCTTCAGTTTTCTGACCTAATTGTTCTGTTGGCAAACTTCGATCAGTGGTGGATCTCGATTTGAAGGAGACAGGCCTAGGTTTGGTGATAGGGAAGGCTACCGTTCTGGACCTCGTGGGCAAGGTGATTTTGGTGAGAAGGGTGGTGCTCCTGCTGACTACAGACCATCTTTTGGGGTAAGTGTGGAATGTTGATTATGCTTAATGCATGTGTATCTGGGGTAGTTGTTTCTTGTTTATTGTGCTCAATGTGTACTCCGTATTTATTTGTCCTTTTGATATGGGTTTGATCATACATGGCATGTATTTTGACCTCAAATTTGATTATCAAATATCTGATCAATATCTCTTTGGATTAGTTGATGTAGTTACGGAGTATATCTATTGAAGGACTAGCTGCTCTGCGTTCTGTAGCTTATACTGTAGGCATGAGTACAGTCTTGATGGAGATATACCGTATGTGATAAGTAGTTGAAATATGAGAACTGTCATTAGATAATTTTATAATGTTTGAGCCTCTTCAAGGGTGATTGGATTCACTGATCTAGGGCGTGAGTCTGAATTGGTTTATTTAGGTAGTTTTTATTATAGAGGACTTGAATAAGAGAGCTAAGTTGATAGCTCCACTTGTGTATGAGTTGCCTCTGATGCCTACCATAGTGTTTGCGTTAGGGGCAAATTAATTTGTACTGATCTGATGGTATATATTGCCAGCCATCCTAAGGATTATATAAACTTGTGGATGCGGGATAGAATTATCCACTCAGTAGTGGGCAAATTTGTGTTAATTTTCAACATGTGAATTCGCTAAATTATCCTTGAAGGTGTATTATTATATGATTGTATCCCGTGTCTGGGATAGTTCTGTCATCCCTCTTGAACTCCCCACCTGAGCCCTCTTCCCCTTCCAAACCAATGTTCATAAAGAGTTCTTACCCTTTATTCTCTGTGTGTGATTGTGAAATTCTGTTCTTTGTTTCTGGTAGTACCATTTTTCTATGATTATTAATTCATTTATTTTATTATTAAATTTTACAGGGTCCTAGTGGAAATGGAAGGCCAGCCTTTGGTCGTGGAGCTGGAAGCTTTGGTGCTGCACCACCAAGCTCAAATCTTCCTTGAAAATTCTCCTAATATGAAATGAATAGGGTTATTCCAGTTTTGAATGTCATGACAATTTTGGATTGAGTTGAAGCTATAATCATTACAATCTTTTGCAAGAGGCTCCCATTTAGAATGATTACTTGTACCTTGAGTTTTTCTTTGCTTGGTGGATGTTGTGAATACTCAAGAGATCATCTGCATGGCCACAATGTTAAGCTTCTGTTTATTGCCGTCTATGCTAAAATTTTGCTATTGCCGTCTGAATATACTATGTGCACATTATTGATTAAAATGCACAATTTGAAGCACTAGAGCTAAAATTTCTGTATTTTTCATATATGAAGCAACTACTTAAAAGTTATGTGACATTATTTACTTCTAAGTAGAGGTATAAACTAACCCCTCGTTGCTCCTTGTTTGTGTAGTGATGAATCTGTTTTGTTGATACAACATTACAGCGGTCATATTCTTTTATCTGTCATGCTTCTGTCTTCCTTTCGGCTCAAGCTAAGTGGTTATAGAGTATGAATTAGCAAATCTAATTTGCAATATAACCAGAATTAATGTTTCACAAGGTCACTTTAGCAGAATGAATATAGGCTAAAGTGGGGAATTATTACTTCTGCTATCACAGGAGAGAAAAATCCAAACTGGTTTTAATTGTTTAGTGTACTTTTTTTTTTTTTTTGGTGGTGTTAGGCTGTTAACCGTGTTTCTAAACCAGTGTGGAAAATCACGAAGAATAATAGAATTCAAGTGAAAATCCAGATTATACAGAGCTACCGAAGGCTTATATTATCAAACTTATCTCACATATGATGTGCTAATTACTAGTGTCAATATTACAGTTTATTCAGCCCTCTATTTTCGCCAAAAAATACAACGGGTTATTCCATAGCAAAAGAAAACAGGTTGAAGACCTCGCAAAGTCACATCCAGACCTGCAATTCAAAACATTGTGATCATGCAAGAATGTTAGCCTTTGTTTTATTTTTAGTCAACTTCCCCCATTTTGCTTTCTTCAGCTTGATCTTCCTCCAGCGATGGCATTTCCTCCTCACCAGCGTTCTCATCTTCCTCGATGCTCAGCCCTAGTTTCAGCATCCTGTGGATCCTTGCAGAAAAAGTTGTTTGGATCATCTAGGCTAAAATCCGAGGTCAGAAGCGCAGTCTCATATAACAGCAGCACAAGGTCCTTGACATATTTGTCATTCTTATCAGCTTCAGCTCTCTCCCTTAACTCCTCCATATGAAAGAACAGCAAAAAAGAGATGGGGTTATTCGATCATTTCATATCTAGGAAAAGTGGACGTACATTTATTTCATGGTGGTCCTTAGACCAAATTATGAGCCTAAGCCCTAATACAAGGATATATCATGGGCCGGGTTTGTATATATTTAACCATCCCTTTTTAACCAATAGGGGTACATGTTATTGCTTTGTTTCGAAGCAAAAGGTAGGTGACTACTCCCCTAAACTTTGGGATCAATATTGGTGTTGTTGATTATAATAAGAACTTATATGGGCAAGGTTAATCGGACTTACTTGACCGCCTAAAAAAGCTTGAACATGACTCAGCTCGCCTTAACTTAGGATTAAGTTATAGGCTAAATTTAAATTTTTGATTTGACATCAGCCTTAAACGAATCTTTAAAGTATGTATTTTTCATAAAAATTTAAACAAACCACACAACCAAAGCTATTTGGTAGTTGTTCCTTATTCCTAGTTTGGTTTTTTTTATTTTATTTTGTTTTTTTTTTTTTTTTTTTTTTTTTTTTTTCCTATTGCTAATTATTTCGATCGGAGCTTCTAGATGAGCAAAAAGAATGAACGAGAGGGGGGGGGGGTGGACTTTGTTTTGTACCATGGTCTAGTAGCTAAGGTAACTCATTGTACATTAGAAAATCACCAATTTAAAAGTTGTTGAAAATTTAGATTTATTAGATTACTATTTTAACAAGTGAAATATTCTTTCATATATTAATGTAAAGTTTTATTCAATAATTATAAATTAATTACTACTCCATATAATATATAGAGGACTTAATTAATCTCCAAGCATTGAATTGAAGTAATAATGTAAAAACCATGCAAAGTCTATCTGAACTCTTAGAAACTCCACTTCACTTTAAATGTATAGTACTTTAATTTAATTTGCACTTGGCAGACATAGAACTTTTATTCTTGTGACACCTTCTATTTCGATCTAGTTGTAAAGGCTGAAAGCAAACACATAAAAATATCTGGATAGTCCTTTCTATTTAAAGATTATACTCTGCCAAGCAATTCTAAACAAGTATCTCATGTATTTCAGGTGGAATAGTTAGTTACAAAAAGAGAGGAAAAATAAATTTATGAACTATGAAGTAAAGTACACACTACATGAAAGTAAATGTCCACATAGCTAGAGCTAGAGCTTGAGCTTGCTTGAGCTTGATTAATATAGTGTTCTATATTGAGTTACAAATTTATTAAAGGGGATCATTTTGTGTATGTAGGTAGACATGGAAAACCCGACTTGCCCTTATTCACCCAACTAAAATTGTGTGAATTATTATGAGTTGTTAGGCCGGTTTTATTTAGAAACTCAAATCACTAACATCAAATATCATATTATTCGTTAATTTTTATTTAAAAAATAAAATCCTAGCCTCATCCATAATTTAGTTATTGTAAGCGATGTACTCTCTTTGTTTCTAAACATTTGTCCTATTTGTTTTTTATACGACTTTCACTTCAATATTGCAATTAAAATATCCTAACTAATATATATATATATATATATATATATATATATATATATATATATATATATAGGATCATATGAGAACACCCTCCTTATGTGATAACCCTATTATATGTGAGGACATATTACAACCGTTGGATCAATTGCATCCAATGGCTACAATTTGTCCCAATCAAATGTAATTTCAAATACAATTTTCCAGCGTTTTCTCTCTCCTCCTTCATTCAACTCGCCATTTTTCTCTCTCCTCCTTCAATTTCTCTGCTCCCTTCTTACTGCTCTCTTCCTTTGCTTTGATTCTTCATCAATCTGCTTCTAATTTCATTGATTCTTTTTCAAGGTGATTTTCGTTGATTTTAGTTTGATTTTCGTTGATTAAATTTTGATTTTCGTTTGATTTTAGTTTGATTACTTAAGGTTTTTGTCAATTTTTTTGCGATTTTTGGCAATTTTCAGTTGAATTTCCGTTTGATTTTTTTTCCTGGCGATTTCTGTTCGATTTCTATTTGAGTACTTATTAGTTGATTTTAGCTTTAATTTTGCTTCATTTGTTAATTTAGGGTTCTTTATAGTGTAATTCAAACTTTTATTTATAATTTCTGAGGTTATGAATGGTTATAGAGATTGATTTTGTCAATTTTGGTACTTGCATTTCACTAATTTGTGCTTAAATTTTGATGCACACTAAGTGTTTGACAATATTCCCCAATGAATCCTATTATTTTATCAATTTCAAATGAAGTACATATTTAATTGATGATCTTCTTATTTAATATTCCCAAAAATTGTATTGAGTCTCGGCTTCTAGCTTCCAGGTGTTGTGACATTTTCAGCATCAATTTCTACGGTTATATATTGTTTAACAACTACCTTGGCTATCATTTTGGATTGTTGTGAAACACATTTTGTTCAATAAATTATGATGGCTACTATTATATCAAAATTTGTTTTATTTCCTGGGATTTTATTTATTTAACATCGTTCTCTTTTCTTGCAATATACAGGGCGGTGTAGGAAAATCAACTGTTGCTGTTAATCTAGCTTATACTCTTGTTGGTATGGATTAGAGTTGGTATTTTTGATGCTGATGTCTATGGTCCTAGTTTGCCAACAATGGTTTCACCAGAGAGCAGGCTACTAGAAATGGTGATAGCAATGCCTTTAAACTCATTTTTAGCTGTCTTATTTGAATTGCTTGTTTATGTTATTTGATTGTCCAGATTGCAGAGACGAAAACCATCATCCCAACTGAATACTTGGTGTCAAACTGGTATCATTTGGATTTGTTGGGCAAGGTCGTGCAATTATGCGGGGCCCAATGGTTTCTGGAGTTATTAATCAACTGCTTACAACAACTGTATGGTATAGTTTTCCCATAAGTATCTAAATATGTTGCGTGCAATTAACTAGCTGCTTGCAACAACTTAATCGTATAGTCTTCCCATAAGTATCTATCTAATTTGCTGAACTACATTATAGACAATGGCTCTTTACTATTGTTAGTTGTAAAATTAAGTATATGACAAGTTTCATATTTTGCAGGCTTGTGATTGACATGCCACCGGGGACTGGTGACATTCAGCTAACTTTGTGTCAGGTTCTTGTTGCCTGTGCTTATTCTAGGTTTAAAAGAAAAAGTGGAGAAAAAAATGGAAATATAGTTCTTCTCTCTTGCAATTGCTGAATTCTGTAGAATATTTTTGTCAGGTTGTTCCATTAACAGCAGCAGTTATCGTTACAACTCCTCAAAAGTTGGCTTTATTGATGTTGCTAAAGGAGTTCGCATGTTCTCAAAGCTCAAGGTTTGATCTTCAGTGCAGAAACCAATTGTTCAGTTATTTAGCTTCTGCCTTTTTGTTTACTACCTGTGAGAGAAAAAATAATTGAGCTTTTCGCAAATAACTTTAGTGTTTAGTGACTCATTGCATGATATGTCCAGGTACCATGCGTTGCTGTTGTGGAGAATATGTGTCACTTTGATGCTAATGGAAAGCGCTTTTATCCTTTTGGCAGAGGTTCAGGTTCTCAGGCATGCAGCTGATCTCCAGACTTTATTGATTTCAATGGTTGATCATCAAACCATGAGCAATTAATTTTTGCTCATTTGTCAAATGAACAATTATTTTTGCTCATTTGTCAAATGAGCAAATAAATTCAATGCTCCTTTGTCAAATGAACAAACTATTTAATGCTCATTTGTCAAATGAGCAAATGATTCTTACTCATTTTGTCAAATTAATGCTCATTTGTGAGTGTGTTTGAATATTTTAAATACGTTAGCCTACTAGCTCAAGGGTAGAGCATTGTGCACATGCACAAAAGATGTGGGTTCGAATCCCACGTAGGTTCATTTATGTAAAGTGGAGACACAAGTTTGTATGAAAGTTTACTTGTAACAAAGTTTCTATAGTTATAAATCATTTCAAACCAGTTTTTTGCTCATATAATTTAGTACGAATTTGATCTTTTTTTTTTAATAATTTTGTTTATAGAGATAACCTATATAGGAATTGAACCTACATCTCCTATGCATTTGCATAGTGCTCTACCAATTGAGCTAATAGGTTTTATCATATGTTTTAAATCATTTTCTATGTTATAAATTTTTAATCAATACATTTGCTCATTTGATAAATGAGCAAGATTTTTTTGCTCATTTGACAAAATGAGCAAAGAATAATTTGCTCATTTGAAAAATGAGCAAAGAATAATTTGCTCATTTGAAAAATGAGTAAATAATTGCTTGCTCATTTGAAAAATGAGCAAAGAATAATTTGCTCATTTGAAAAATGAGTAAATAATTGCTTGCTCATTTGACATCATACACAAGCCAAATAAGACAAATATTATGCATCATCTCTTGTAGAAAATCTTGTAATATTTCTCTCCTTAGACTTACAGATTAGAAGAGACCAAGCATTCAATCCTAAACCATACACTAGAAAGAAACAGTGCAAACAAAACCATGATAGCATATAATATGAATTATAGACCTTTATAACCTTTGACAATATGCATTGGACCCCTCTATAGAAGTTAAAAAAATGCAGAAAGTTAGCAACTTAAATATTTTTGATATGATATATTTCATTTGCACAAAAAATTTAGCGCAAGTGTTTCGAGGTTTTTTGATGTCCTGCGGGAGAGTTACAATTCCGGGACTGGTATCCTTGCGCCTGTACCTGCAAAACAACGGAGACTCCTTGTGGTGGGAGTTCCGCCTCCAACGGTCAAGTTAGTACTTTTTTGTGGAGTAATAAATGCGGAAAAGTAAAGGTTGGGAGATCTGGTTCCTCTAGGGGAGGAGTGATCAGTGTATTTAGGTTCTCTAAGTGAGAGTAATTAATTGCTGAATCCCCTTTAATGAGGAGTAACTAGAGTATTTATAACCTTGGGAAACGTGCCAAATACTAGGTTTAGGTTAACCTAGGGCTGACTGGGCTTCCCTTGGAAATTGGGCCTAGGTGGCTGTTAAGCCTGTTTGGCATATGGAAGCCACGTGGCGTAGCACAACTGGTCCAAGGTGGACTAATCATCACTTGACACGTGGCAGGTTCCAACTGGTCCATGTGGCGGACACATGGCAGGACCTGAATGGTCCACATGTCAAATGATGATTGGCTGGGGAAAATCCCCTAATCATTTGCCCCTCACAGGTGGCACGTGACTGGTCACATGTCACCTGTGACAGGTGTCGGCCTATAACAGGCGACGGCCTGCTACAGATGTCTCCCTATAACGGGCCGAGCGGTTTTCCGCTAATTTTTTGAATTTGGAAGCGACCCTTTGCATTCTCCTTTTGCCCTATATAAAGGCATGTTGACCAAGTCTTTTGTTCACATTTGCGAACTTTTCAAGAGAACTCTCGGACCCCTGAACTTGAGCTCTGACACTTTGCAACTTTTGACCTGCCGATTATTTCTGACAGGCCGACTGCTTTTGTTAGGGGCCTGTTTGATCAAGCTCTCCTTCAGAACTTAAGTTTCAGGTAACCGTCTGTTCCTTTATCCTTTTCTGTTTTGCTTTTTCACTTTTTCCTTTTCTTTTTGAAAATGAGGCCTCAAAAGCATCCGGCACGACCTAGGTTAGCAATCAGCCGGTCATCGGGGACAGCTGAGTCTAGGATTAGGGGTGCCATCTGCCCTGCGGTACTTCAAACTTTGCGCAAGTCCTGGAATCCAACTGTCTTTGTATCTATGCAGGACAGTATGGCAAGAACAAAAAAGACAAAGAGGATTGAAAACTCTAACGGCTCCTCTTTCCGAGTTCAGATTAGTGAGCTGTCGGACCAGCCGCCTGATACCGCAGGGAGCCAAGGTGGCCCTTCTTCCGAGAGCTCTGAGGAGGGAGCTAAGGTAGCCCCTTCCCACTTCATTGTTGACCTGGCCAGTCAGCAGATGACCCCTGATGAAGAAGAGGGGTCGGCCCCCTCAAGGAGAGGGGAGGAGTCGGACTCTTCTGATAGTGAGTCTGACTCTAGTTCTTCAAGCCGCCTCTCTCTAGACTCAAAGGAAAAGCATTCTCGCTTGCATGAGGCGAGACTTTCTCATGCGGCTGATAAGGGGGACGACTGGTCGGAACCATCCGCCCCTCATAGGGAGTTTAATACTCCTTACTACTGTCATGTCCCAAAGGGCAGAATCAAGGCCATGAGGGAACGAATAGCCACTTTCTTATCGGACCATGTGATGGGTCCTGATTTCCAAGTTTTTGTGCCGGATGCTGAAGATGTCGTCACCTGGCCAGCTGGAGCCAGCTATGGGGACGCCTACTTTGGCTGTTATGAGGCGGCCATTAAGGCTGGCTTGCGATTTCCCTTGCATCCGACCGTTCAACAAATCCTCGATGGATACGAGGTGGGGCTATGGTAGTTAGCCCCGAAATCCTGGTTCAACATCCTTGGCTATGTAGCCGGATGTGAAATGCATGGGGTGGAGCCGAATTTTGAGGAGTTCACCCACATGAACTATCTTAGCCGGACCCCCAAAGCAAGCGGTACCGACTGGTATCAAATTACGAGCCACAAAGGCTATCTGATGACGAGGGGCAAAGAAAATAAATGGAAGGATTGGAGAAACACCTTCCTCATCATTGCCAGCCTTGACAAGCTACTGAACAAGCGCTACAATAGGTGGAATAGAGATTCACCTCTTCTAGCAGGCGGTCGCAGCATGTCGCTTGTTCCCCTCAAGGCCAGGGAAGAGATCCTAGACCGAGGGCTTTTCAAAGTAGAGATTAGGGCAAAATCTGCTACGGGGGATCGAGAACAGGTGTCCTTACACTGCGTCCCCAAATTCAAGTGGCTCTATGATGAGTACTTACTGGCCGCCTGCGGCCTTAGCAGTCGGTCCTCTAGAGGTAGCCGGCCTCTTGAGCATATGTACGCATCTATTGCTTTGCTTTCGAATTTTTTCTAACTCTTTGCGGTTCTTATTTTCAGCTGAAGCTATGGACCACATCTCTGCGTCAAAGAAGGCGGCCGCCTTGCTGCGGACCTCTATCATGCAACAGAAGCGGACCTCTTTTGATTCTCCTGCCAAGGAGACGCCCATAGTGAGTTTCGAGCCTTCCAACTTGTCTTGAAAAACTGCTTTAATCAGTATTGACCATTTCATATTTTTCGCAGGCGAGCACTTCCAAACCCTCTTCTTCCCAGCAGCCGGATGCGAAGGCTCGCAAACTGGCGATTAGGAGCTCTGCTGGCTCTGCCAGGAAGCAGTCGGCTGACAAGCAGCCGATCACCCCACAAAGTGTGGGGAAACCATCACAAGTCCTTAGGGACAGTCGGCCGCCAAGAAGTATAAACTGCTCTGCTAGACTTAACTTATTTCTTCATCGCTTTCTTCATGTTTTTGATGTTTCTCTTTTTTAGATGCAGGCGGCCCTCAAGAACCAGACTTGGTCTTTTTCATATATATATATATATATATATATAAATATATATATATATATACACTATACAAAAAACACAAACATGTGAATATTATTTATCTACACTTTTTCATGGTGTGAATTTTTTTCAGGTTTAATTCGTTGATTAACAAAAAATATTGGAAATAATGTAAGTATATCAAGGCTTTCTGATGGTAAACAAAATAAATTGATTGTTATTCATTATTTTATAAGATGTATGTTTTGTTTTATTTTACCTAATCTAATTATGTTACTTATCGTATTAAATTTTGTTAAACAACTTAATTGTAACTTAATATAATTATTCTGTATTTGAAGGGATTATGTCCATGCGCCAATTGAAAGAAATTTCTTCAAGCACTTATAAATCCAAAAGAGAAATATGTGGATTGGAAAAGTAAGGACTTGTTCTCTTCCGCTTATTTTCAGTTCAGTTTAGTTCCTAATTTCCTTTTCTCATAAAATATTCAGTTCAGTTCAGTTCAGCTTCAATCAGTTCACTTTAGTTCAGTAAATCAGAACAAGCCCTTAGTCAACTATAATGTTACAAAAGTAGGGAAAAAAATTTAAAGATTGTAAAAGATGTCTCTGATAATTTTGATTTTTTATGTATTATAGTTTTTGGTAGAATATCTATATTATTATTGTAAAAAATCATTGTAGTAGTGTATACATATAACTCTATTATTAAGGATATATGATAATGAAATTTCATTCTAAAGATTTAATTTTATTCAATTAGATTAATTTTAGTATTGCAACACTCTTGGTAGTATATATATATATATATAATTTACTATTACTCCCACCGTTTTTATTTTAACCTTGTAGTTTTGGGTTTACTTTATTAATTTTTCATTATATAAAGTTGATACGGAGTAAAAGAGTAATGGTGGTCCAAGTTATTGTTTGTGAAAGAAAAATAACGATTCTATAACTATATATGTATAGTGGAACAACGTGTTTTCGTTTATACAAATGAATCATAGGTTAATATTCTAATTTTCATATACTTATAATTTTCATATAACTAATATTAAGTAAATTAAAGTCGCATTATAAGTTGCATAAAAATAAAACAAATTATCCGTTTTCTAACAAGCAAAATAATAAAAAAATTATAGGGTTAAATTAAGAAAATAATTTTCTCATGAGATTTATGTATAAAAAATCGTGCATC